TCTCCAAAAACTAAGACCGGCCCCCGACCAGAGAAAGGAACAGCTATGTGGCCCTCGCAGGAAAAAGTTTGGGGACCCCTGTACTAAATCATGTATTAAATGCTAGTTTTCTTTATCAATTTTTGTACACAATGGTATTACTATTCTTTGTAAACTGAATCCACGTTTTTAGTGTGCTTTGCTTTTGTTCTGTAGTGTACAACAAGACAAAGCTGTAAAAAAGGCCGCATTTATTGATTTCAGACACTTCTATTAATCAGATCAACATTTTCATGCTCATTTCTATTGTTTTTCTAGCTCAGAAAAATTAATCACATAATTCAAATCAGTCGTAAAAATATTGTCTAAACTCTCCTCACAGTTTGTGGTAATTATTTTGTTTTCATATCTACTAATGTTAGATTACTTAGGAGTAAAACTTTAGATCTAAAAGTTTTTGATAATGCAGGCGTAAAGCACAACCCAAACATGGAGGCCTTAGTCTTCGACGTGGCCGCCACACAAGTACAAAGGTCATCACGGACTGATGACCTTTGTACTCGTCTTCCCCCTCTCTCATTACTCACTTTCCTGTCGAACCACTTTCAAATAAAAGCCACTAAAAACAATAAAACCTCAAAAAAACTGGCTTCCTGTTTTTTTAAGGAAAAAAACAGCTGCATCCACCACAGCTGCAATGGTCTGTGGTGGAAATTTTTTATAATGGGGTAATATAGTTTGACTTTATTAGTCTGATAGTTATGTTTTGCTTTCCCAGCGGGTAATCTGTCAGAGCAAACTCACTGAAGGGATTTCACTGGAGAAATGACCTTCAGGAAAGCAAAAATCCACACAGTCGCATCATTTTCAGTAATGATTTTTTTTCACCCTTTTTCTGTCCCTAAAAATTGATGGTTATCGGCCTGCTAGTAGAGCTATTTTTAGATACATGCTCATGAGTAACTGTTTTGTAAACTCTCAAATCCTGCTTCTGGTATAAATAAACCTGACTGAGGGATTTTCACCCAACAGTGTCAATGGATTTTTGTCCCACAACAGCTCTTAGACTCGAGTAAACATCCAAAGTTTGACAGGTGGTGTGTGTGTGTTAGCGTTGCAGTCTCTCTGTAGATCCCATAATAAACATAAAGTCAAGTTTTACGCCATTTACTTTCGACAAAGGCGTCTTTCATTCCCCTCCACAAAGACTTTTCCTGACAGACACGATCTTCACCTAAAAGGGAGCAATCAAATCAGTGATGCCTGAAATTTTAAAATGGAAGTTCATCTACTGGGTTACAGCATAGAAACGAGGTGGGAGAGTAGATTGTAGTAGAGAAAGTTTGAGCTGTGTTGTCTGAAAAAGAACGTTTTGTTGTATCCGTTTTGCTAGATGAGTAAAGGGAGACTGTACTTTAAAATACCACAAATTATTAGACATCAATTACACAGATACTAGAAATATTTACACTAGTGATGGGTCCGGTAACACCGATGCATCTGTGCATGCGTCAAGCCCATAGACCAAAACCTGTGTCGGTGCGCGTATTGGTTTCAGCAAGTCACATGACCGGTTTCGAAATGACATTAACATGCCAAACTGTGTTTATAACAAAAAAAGGGGGTGTGGGTTTTAATGTTTTTATCTTTTTTTTAATCCTTTTTTTTTTTCAAAATCTCCTCTTTCTTACCGTTTATTCAATGTCACCTGCTGTTTTTTTAATAATGTAAAGGACTTTGAAATGCCTTGCTGCTGAAATGTGCTATACAAATAAAATTTGATAGATTGATATAAGAAAGCGAATCTGTCAAAAGCATTTGCCAAACAAATTCTTGATTTTTGACGGAACAGCGTCAACTATGGAGCAGCCTCAAACGAAAGGTTTCCGCAGTGTGGGACCATTTTGATCTTATATTGGAAAATAAATTTGTTTTCATTTTTGTGGTTTCATCCGGTTCTTGTCAGTTTCTACTTGATCTATCTGAACCCAAATTCAGCTGAAACTGACTCTTAGTTTACTTTCATATCATGTTCTGCAGGTTAAGTGTCGCATATGTTTGACTAAACTGTCTTATTTAAATAAATCCACCTTTTCAATGTTGAGGCATTATGAGACCAGGCATGAGAATGAAGTCCCAGATACACCGATATAAACTCAGATATGCAGCCATTCTACATACTCAGTTACTTTTTATAAATTATTTCATATACAGTGATCCCTCGCTATAGCGCAGTTCACCTTTCACGGTCTCGCTGCTTCGCAGATTTTTCTGTGCAGTTTTTTTTCCACAGTGCTCTGAGTGCTGATTGACCGTATGATTGGCAAAAACAGTCTCCGCACTTCTTCTCTACCTGAATGCCAATAAAGTTACGGTATTTAATACAGATTGGCCATTCGGGAGATGAAAACCGAAACTTTGAATGCCTGCTGGAAAAAAAACTGTGGCCAGAGGCAGCGCAAAACACGTCCGGAGGCTCGCTTGATGAGATCCATCGCCCTGCCGTAGATACAGCTGTGAATCTCGCGGGGCAGGTTGGAGGAGACGCTTTAATGTCATGACTCCGGATCACATTAAGGCCCGATTGATGAACATGCACATCCGCTGATCTGAAAACAGGTTTTGTTATTTGGTTTCAATGTAGAGTATTTATTTATGCTGTGTAATAACTGTAAAAAATAAAGGTAACTACTTAACGGATTTAGCCTATCAAGGGTTATTTTTGGAACGCCACCCCTAAGACAAACAAGAGTTTGCAGTAAATGTAGTGTTTACTTCATTTTTTTCTACAGCAGAAGTTTTGTCAAAAAAGTGTAACAGGCTAAATTTCAAAATGTTGTAAAAAAAATTTTTTTTAAAAAAAAATGTGGGGAAAAAAAAAAAAAAAAAAAAAAAAACAGTCCACAAGGATCTTCATTCCAAACACGTTCACTTAAATTTTCACTTTATGGTACATGTTCACATTATTTATTGATTGTATGTCAAATATATTTTGAATTTAACTGAAT